TTTGCTTGTGTGTGAATTTGGGAACTGTGTGGGTGCCTGTGGGGGTCAGATGAGTGCTGGATCCCTTGGACTGGAGCTGTAGACGCTCGTGATTCAGCACATGGATGCTGGGAACTGAACCTAGCCAGGTCTTCTGCAAGGGCAAGAAGTTTTCTTGTCACCAAGCCATCTTTCCAGCTCCTTTATACTAATAATTACAAATTGTTCTTGAGCTGGAAGGTGGTGGCACATACCTTTAATCTCAGCACTCAGGAGGCAGAGGCAGGTAGACTCTGTACGTTCAAGACCAGCTTGGTCTACAGGGTTAGTTCCAGGACAGCTAGGGCTGTTACACAGAGAAACCCTGTCTTCAAACAAACAAACAAATTGTTTTCTTTCTAAGTGTGAGGATAAAGCAAAAGTCAATTTGGGGCAAAAACTAGTGCCTCTGTTGCCTTCCCCTGCAGTTTCTGAGGAGTGGCTCCTAGAGCCTAAGGTTGAATCATGATTTTCAACTGATGACTCATAGAAGAAAACTACCTTGCAGTCATCACTTTTCTGTAAACGTTAATAGGGAAACCCAGAAGCTATTGATCACCAAGATTTAATAGTTTAGGCTTCCCCATGTGTGTTGTTTTCATTATTCTCTTTATTTCATAATTAGAACAACGATGAGGTGGCCCTTTGCCTACTTGAGGGAAAACTGGCTTGGGAGGAGAGAATCCTAGGAAGACTAAAACAGTAAACACATCATCACATGGAGCAGGTAGAGTTTTCACAAAAAGCTCAGTGATTGTGTCAGGCCTAGGAGGGGCTGGAGTACAGAATAAAGAGGGCTATATGATTAGCATGGAACGAGATTGTCTGAAGGACACTAGACTTTTTCTTGTTTTTGAGGCAGGGTCTTTTTATGTAGCTGTTCTTGAGCTTACTATTCTTGAATTTACAGAGATCATCTGCCTCAGCCTTCTAAGGATTAGCACTAAAGCCATGCTCCACCACATCCAACCAAATTTTCATTTTTAATTGTGTATTTTGTTTGGAGACAGCGTCTTGTTTTATTGCCTTGGCTGGCCCAGACCTTGTAAACCTCTCATTTCAGCCTATCCAGTGCTAATATGCAAGGTGTGCACTACCACAGATAGCTGTAAGAATTGCTTTCTCTATTAAAATCCTGAGATATCTATATAGAAAGGAATATGGGAGAGAGAAGCAATGATGCACACCTGTAATCCCCGCATCTGGGAGGCCTAGGTAAGAGGATTTCTCCCAAAGGATTACTATTTTTTTTAAATCAAAAAACTCAAAAGGTATTAATGGGAAGAAAATAATCGGCAGGACTCCATACATATTTGAGTGGCCTAAGAGGGATGGACAAAAAGAACCATTGGAGAGAGCACCAATTTTTAAAATTGTTAAGTGTGTGTGTGTGTGTGTGTGTGTCTATGCATGTGAAGTCCAGAAGAGGGCATGAGATCCCCTGGAACTGAAGTTAGGGGTGGTTGGGAGCTGCCTAACATGGATGCTGGGAACAGAACTCTGGTCCTCCCCAAGAGTAGTACGCTCAACCTCCAAGTAATCTTTCTAGGCCCATACGTTCTAAAATAGAAGATTCTTATGATTTGGTTTGAGTCCAGAGGGTTTTTTGTTTGTTTTTATCTTGTAGAGATCATTTGTGTAATTTTAGAAAACTAAAACTTCACAAATTATCACTTTTCAAGTTTCATTTCCTGCCCTCACTTATACAGTATTAAAATCTTGAGTATGCCTGATTTTAAGTCCTTCGCTTCATTCACATTTGTTCTTTTTGAGTTGAGAATTTGGATTTCCCCAGACTGTCACTGGAAAATTAGAGTTGTTCTAGAGATAGATTTGGAATACATAGTGCAATAAGTGAAAGAAATACCCACTCAATGTTGAAATAAGTAAAGTTTTTGTAACAAAAGTCAATTTTGGAATATAAAAATGCAGTGTGCAAATCCTGGCCAGAGAGTAACAGGGTGTGATTCCCTTCACTTTACTAGTTCATTGGGACTTCATGTGTAGGTCATATCAATGTTTTTATTTTTAGAAGGAACTTAAAAGATGACATGACATGGTCTTGAACCCCAATGTCAAGAACATGATTATTCTGTATGCTATAGATTGTTGGCTGGCTTCCTTCATACTATTTTATGGCTTTAACACTCTCTGAGTCAGATCACTCTTCATTTTTCCTACATGTAGTTTTCTCCTTGGAAAAAAAGCTGTAATATATTAGCAACTTAGTTTCTCTTTTCTTCCTCTCCTTTTTTTCTTCCTTCCTTCCTTCCTTCCTTCCTTCCTTCCTTCCTTCCTCACTCTCTTCTTTCTCTTTCCTTTGTCTCTCTCCCCCTCCCCTCCTGCCTCTCCCTCTCTCCCTATCTCTCTCTTCTCTCCACTCTGTAGCCCACTTTGATCTATGTTGACTAGGCTGGCCTTGAACTTGTGGTGGTACCCCTGCCTCTGCTTCCAGAGTGCAGGAATTACATATGTAAGTTATCAAGCCAACTTTAGTCAGCATCTTTTAAATGAACCATTTTTTGCTGGGGTATTCACTGTTACTCTGCCTAGCATCCCAACCTCCCATTTTCCATTCTTGGTTAGTGCTCTTGCAATTTTCTGTCCAGTTTAATCCTTATTTCTCTAAGAATTGTAAGGTGTATTAGAAAGATATAGTATTTTCTTTGATTTTACTGGCCTGACTCCCTTTTGAGGGCAGGACACTCCTTTTATCCCCAAATACTGTGCATCCAAGCCTTTTGTCTGGTATGTAGAAAATATGCAATAAATACGTATTCAATGAACAAATGTATGCTTGCTTTCTCTTCATACATCTTTTTTATTTTTTTAGGTAAGGCAAGAAGTTTAATACTTAAGGTGAGAAAACAGTCCACGATTCATCTAGTGACTTCTCATGGTTGCAGAGCCAGCTCTTGGTGTGGGAATTGAAAGCTGCTGTGCCCACACTTTCCCTCACATTGTCCTTTGTGAACAAACTTCTCAGTGACCCAGATGCAACTTGAACAATTCAATAGCATGGTTTTTCTCATGAAGTGTGTGTGTGTGTGTGCATTTTAAAGTCTGTTTTTTAGTATGCATGCATTTTTAAGTGTATGCTTTTAAGTATGTGTGTTTGCTTTTATATTTTAAATGTGTACATTTTACCTGTATTTTTAAATGTTTGTGTTTTATGTGTGTGCATTTTTAAGTATTTAAGTGTTTAAATGAATCGTTTAAGTATATGTGCATTTTAAGTGTTTGTTTAAATGTATTTTTGTGTGCACTTTAAAATGTATGTTTAAGCCTCAGTTTTGGCTCTGGACCCAGTTTCTCCAATCTCTGTTCCAACCTCTACTGCAGCCAGAATTGCTTCTCTAAAATGCAAATGTGATCATGTTACTTCCTTCCTTAAAAACCCTTCAAGCAGATCAAACTCCCAAGAGTTTGCTGAGAGAAGGCACTGTAATTGCTACCCATTTCAGTAGTCTTATCACTCCTTGTATCCACTCTTGCATTCACTCACCCTGGCATCACACTTTTCAGTCTCCTGAATACAAGAGCTGGCTTCACTGCTCTATTCAGTCCAGAATTCCTTCCCTAGGCCACCCTGAGAAGAAACCTCAACTACACTGCGGGTGTGTCCACACCCCTACAGATGACTATCCTGTCTGTGTAAAACAGCCACTTTCGAAAGGGAATAAGAAAATTTATCCTGAGCCAATTATGACTTGTGCATGGCTGGGAAACATGGATTTGGTTTGCCTGGAATAACGTTTTGCCATGAAGGCGCTTATAGTCACAGAATAAAAGAAAGAAGTTAAGGCGTTTTCCAGATACTGGTTGGACCATCAGGCTGATTATAGTAAACTGAGGAAAGACTGAGAGGTTTCAGAGCTTTAACTGATGATATCCTTAGTTTTCAAACTGGTGGAAACAAGGGGTCCGCTGAGATTATTTTAAAGGTTTTGAGTCATAAGGTCAGACACGGTTGGTCAATGAATGCCTTATTCAGGGACTGAAGGTCTAAGGATAATCGTCAAGTTTAAGTTGTCATTCGGCCTTGTACAATCGTCACCGCAGATCTCCCATACCAGCCGGTGTACTCAAGCTGCAGTTAGTTACCATATCTACCCCAGTACCAATGTCCCCACTAGGCTTCAGTGTGAGTTGAGCTCACCGTGCAGGAAGTGGCAGGTGAATGCGCGGTGGAAGCAACTGAAGAAGTCGGAGGAGGTGGAGCAAGGGAGGCTCGATAGGGAGACGACCAGTTTAGCTTTGGAGGCAAATGATTGTAAGATAATAAAAGCGTAAAGGATAGGTTCTGCCTCCCCATCTGATGTGCGACGGGGCAGGAGAGCAGCCCGGAACTACGGCCACTTTAAGAGGACGCACGAAGCAAAACGGTCTCGACCCGAGGCGGAAGTCCCTGGGGAGCAGGATGGGGTGAGAAAGAGATAGCGAGTGCGGGAAACCACAATGTCTTTTTTGACACGCTGCGATAACTTAGAATTAAAGCTGCTCAGCGTCACAAATGACGCAGTGGAAAAATAGAACATTGAAGTCAAGGGCCTAGGGCCCCGCTCCTTGGCTACATAATTCCACAACTCAGAGCCGGGCGAGCTCTAAAGGGGCGCCAGCGTCCTCCTAGCGACTCTGCGCCGTGCACGGGACAGCTCCCCTGCGCAGCTCCCGCTTTCGGAAGAGCTGCAGAGACTGGGCGAGCGTTGGGGCGTGGTGCGGAGGTGGGACGCAGCGAAACAGAGGCGGGGCTACAGAGTGGGCGGTACGGAGGCGGGGTTAGAGCCGGTGTGTGGGTGGGGGGCAGGGGCGTGGCATGACAGGGTAAGGGGCGTGGTGGCGGGGCGGGACGGGGCGGAGTGGGACCTGGCTCAGATTCAGGGGGAGGAGCGGCGTGGGGCGGGAACTGGGCGGGTCACGCTGCGGCTGCGCGTTGCTGCTCCTCGCAGTTCGCCCCGGCGGGCGCGGCAGAGGCGGCGGGGGCGGCTACGGAGACCGCGGTGGCGGAGGCGGTAACGCGGTACGGGATGCGGCGCTACCTGCGGGTCGTAGGGCTGTGCCTGGCCTGCGGCTTCTGCTCGCTGCTGTACGCCTTCAGCCAGCTTGCAGTGTCCTTGGAGGAAGGAGCGGCCGGAGGTCGCAGGCCGCAAGCCGCGGCGATGGGTTCCTGGCTGGCAGACGTCGGACGCGGCCCCGGGAGAGGCGCGGGCAGCGCGGGCCCCGGCCGGCCGGGCAGGTACGGGCCGCAGTGCCGGGTGCAGGGGCCTGGGAGTCCACGCTGCTTCCACCACCGAGTACTTTGTGTTTGGCTTCAGATTCAAGTGTGTAGATCAGCTAGAAATTGAATTAATTTGCAACTTTCTCAAAGGTTCGTTGGAAGTCAATGGTGGCCCACAAAAATCCCGATTACAGTTGGCTAGTGGGAATTCCCTCCTGTTTCCATGGAGCTGAAGCTGAGCTATTTAAGAATCAGCCTGGTGCCCTCATTGAGTTCGCACCTCCTAGGTTTCCAAATTTCCACCGTAAATCTTAGCATATTCATTAGCTGTCATAGATCAATCTGGCCGTGGCATAAACGAGCTATGAATTTTTGTTTTGGAAATACTCGGTTTACCCGGAAGCCTAAAGAAAAATTAGAAACATGAGCAGTACTTATAATGTTTATATTTTATAGGAGTAGTGGAATGAAGATACCATTTTTTTATTGGATATTTATGACAGCATAATGAAGATTTGGTGGATTTGCATAAATCGCTGCCAGGGTTAGAATTATGAAGTTTAAATGGAAAACTGTTTTGGCAGTGCACTTAACAATCTGAGCGTTTCACAGTGCCTTGAGGGATACCTGTATTTTTGGACAATTCTGACACCAACATATTGGAGAGTAGAAGATGGGAATTATAAAAGTACCATCCTCTGTGAGCTATTGTGTAGCACCTGAGAGTTGATGGTCACTTCCAGAGGGAAGGGGGTACAAAATAAAAGCGGCATGGTGATTGTGAGTTACAGTTTGTTTTGATTTTAGTCAGAGAAATGTGGGATTTAGGTATATTCTCAGGCCCCATTGCCCACATCTTAAAGTATTAATTGCCCAGAATTACATAACAAGAAGTTCTTGGGGGGGGGGGTTGGAATCTTTCCAACTCTATAAAGTAAAATATTTAAAATGGTAAGAATAGTATTTCAGAGAAATCTTTTTTCAGTGTATACTGTTTGAACCGATTATTTCAAGCCAGTCCTGGTGGCCTACACCTGTATTCTCAGCATTCAGGCGGTAAGGCAGGAGAATGGGAAATTTGAGTGCCTGTCTGGTTTTCATGAGTTCCAGGCCAGCCTGGGCTACACAGTGAGACCCAGGTTCAACAGACCAAGAGCTGGCTGTGTACCCCAGGGGTGAAGGACTTGCCTCCATGGGTGCTGAGTTCCTTCTCTCCTTGGTTTTAGTAGACAGTAGTAGACAATGTATACATTTTAGTCAGACAAACTTGTACTCTCCTTCTCCCACTGGTGCAGGATCCCTTGATCACATTGTTACTTTGTTATGTATTAATTTCTTTACTATAAAATGTAGATAATAAATTTTCAGCTACATTGGGATAAAAGTTGTGTATATTTAATACTAGCTTCTTGATATTTTTTGTATATTCAGAAATGATTGTCACTTCCCTCCCTCTTTTTCAGATTGGCTAGACATGAAGTTCATTTTTTGCTGGGTACTGTAAACACTGGTAGGATACACTGAGAATTTAAACATGGAAAAATGAGGGCTTTTGAGTTGTGAACTTTACCTTTGACACATACTGGCTGTGCTGACTTCCTCATTAGATATGGACCATTTGTGAGAACGGAATGAACAGTTGCCTAGATTACTTAGTATGGTACCTGGTATAATAAAAGGGTGACTTTTAATTTTACAGTGTAACAGTGTAACCCCCCACCCCCACTTTTTCCCTCATCTTCCCCCCCCCCTTTCTTTTTTTCTTACTTAGGGAAATAATTTTGTTACCAGCAAGAAACCTGCTAAACTAGAAGGCCTGAGAATGAAGTCCAGGAAGCTGTGTTTTAACCATGGGCTGTTATTAAGATGCAAAAAAACCACTGAAAGCCACTGATAAAGCTCAGAGATAGATTTGACCATTATTTTTGCAGTACTGTTTCCCCCTTCTTCCCTGAGTCTGATTTTGAAGGAGAGTAATTGGGTCACTGAACACTGGAGAAAGTTGAAATACTTAGGTAAGGCCCCTTTACTTTGCCTCATTAATGAGGAAGTAACACCAGTGCCACCCTGTATTTTAGTTTATTGAACAACATAGTGGTATCTGCTTCACATCTTTGCTGAGTGTTACCTGGGCTGCTATAGCAAAACTCTTCTGACTGGGTCTATTGGAAACAACAGAAGAAAATTATTTCTTACATCTGTCTTCTTGCTGGGTTGTCACATAGCCAGGTAGGTCCAGAGCTGCTTCTACATGGACAGTAATCTCATTCTTGGGGGACTGCCCTTCATGTTCTAATCACTTACCAAAGGCCTAGACACCTCTGACATCAATTGTCACTCAAAGATAAGAATATTTTGGTGGGGGGATTACTTACTGTAATCCTGATCCATAATATTTAATAAAAGCTAGTAATATGTGCTTTTGGAGATACTCATTTGACTAAGAAGTGTACTTTTGACTTAGAGTTTTTGTTTTGTATTTTGTTGTTTTTAGTTTTTTGAGATAGGGGTTTCTTTGTAGACTTGGATATCCCAGAACTTGCTATCCAAATGCTGGGATTAAAGGCATGGGCCACCACTGTGTGCTGGTTTAGAGATTTTATTTTAAATATTAAATGCTGTTACCCATGTCATGTCTTTTGGAATTCTCCCTGAGTAACAACTTAAGTTTGGTTGGGAAGTGTATGTTGCATGAATTTAAATTTTTTTGTTTTCAGGTTGGCTATGTTTTTTTTTTTTTTCATTTTTAATCTTTATTATGCACAGAATAACTTCCTTCCAGTGCTGCTCCTCTTGCACATTCTTTAAAAAGACATTTAAATCTGTAATCTAGATTTATTTTTTGTTGAGGGAAGAGTGTGTGCTCTGTGATCACTTTTTGAGATGGTTATTAGACAGTTGTTTCAGCTTCAACTGCCTGTGTACCTGCCTTTTCCTCCCTTTGTGAGTGTTCATGAAATTAGAGGCATAAGACAGAGGTGGAGGTATGGTGGAAAGTTAGAAGTGTCTTGACCCAAAGCAGTTGCAAGTGAGTTGCCCAGGCAGATCATAAGCACCCCCAAAGTTGCCCATATTCTGAGAATAATCTCCTCTAACATGCTCCAGTTGTGGTCTCTTGCATGTCATGGGTGCCCATGGCTTAAGATTGTATTGTTGCCTTGTAGCCCTGCACTCACCCTCCACATTCATACATTTTCCTGAAAATTTCTTTGACTCTTTGTAGAGTAAGGAAAACTTAGTTGTGTATAGATTTTACAGCAATCTTGTGATTATTATGGATATTTTGAAATGAAAAGAAAACCAACCTTCTTTTAGTTTAATTAAATACAGAGGACTGTTTTATCTTTCATGGCTTGGTCCTGGAAACCTGACTGGAGCAGTAAGAGAGTGAAGAAAGGTCAGGTATAGAGACTCATGTACAAAAAAGCTGGGTGAGGGCCATGTGTACTCTGATAGAGAGTTACCACAGCACAGGACGAGAGTTGTCCATAAGTGGTGGACATAAGTGGTCCATAAGAAGGAGGAAGCTGTAGTTGACACAGTGGTCAGTCTGTCTACACTGTTAGCAATAACACTGGGCCAGAGGACGGCTTTGTTGTCCCTCTAAGCCTCATGGGGTGGGGGTGAGGGTTGAGGGGGAGAGGCTTTGCAGTTCCCATGGGTCTGAGGCATGAGGTCCTTGACATGTCAATGATTCATTCACATTTCACTCCAGACTTTGCATACTCACCAAGGGCCTCCTCAGTTCCACACAGCAGACATCTTGGACTTAAGTCTGCTTCATGTTTGAGAAGTGTTACTGTGGAGAGCATTCTTGTTAAGTGCTTTTGTTGTTGTTTTTATCTTTGCCAGGGTCTCAGTATAACCCACACCAGCTTTCAACTCATAGACTCAAAACCTGTGGTTTCATCTTCCCTAGCAGCTAGCTAGTACCACACGTTTTTGTTTTGTTTTGAACCCTGGCTGTCGTGGAACTCACAGATCACCTACCTCTGCCATTCCATACCAGGATTAAAGCAGTGCACCACCATCCAGCCAGCCTGGCTTTATGATCTTTTAAATGCAAAAAAATAAAACATCTTCATAAAAGACATATTTATCATTATTTTATGTGTATGAGTGGTTTGCCTGAATGTGTATTTGTGTACCACATGCATGCTTGGTACTCTTAGGAAAGGGTTTAGATCGCCCCAAACTTGAGCTACAGATAAACCCAGGTCCTCTGGAAGAGTTGCCAGTACTTTTAACCATTGAACCATCTCTCCAGCCCCTTGTATTTATTTATTTATTTTTGAGACAGGGTTTCAGTGTAGCTTAAACTTAGTCTTTCCATCTCAGCCTTCCAAGTGCTAGGATCATAGGTGTGTGCCCGTATTTCCAAAGTGTAATTTTTGAAAAATTTGTAATTACTGACAAATTTGAAAATGGTCTTTTTTTTTTCCATTTGTTTTTTTGAAATAGGGTTTCTCTATGTAGCCTTGGCTGTCCCGGAACTCACCCTGTAGGCCAGACTGGCCTGGAACTCACAGAGATTGGCCTGCCTCTGTCTCCCAAGTGTTGGGATTAAAGGCATGCAATACCATCGCCTGGTGAAAAAAAAAATATGTCTTTTAAAAAAAATTACTATACTTTGTATATATGAATGGTCAATCTGCATGTATGCCTTAAACCAGAAGAGAGCATCATTCCCACTATAGATGGTTGTGAGCCACCATGTGGGTTGCTGAGAATGAACTCAGGACCTCTGAAAGAGCAGCCAGTGCTTTTAACTGCTGAGCCATTTTTCCAGCCCTCAAAATGTGTCCTTTTTAAAAAGTTTTCTTTAAAAAAATTTTTTGTTCTGAAATAAATACTCATTTTTGGCAAATTTCACAGTTTTCCTAATAGTAACATTTTACATTAGAGTGGATTTCTTTATATCTAGAAAAATAGATCAATATAGGATAATATTAATACCTTAAAGTTGGCCTTGTAGTTTCCAGAACTCATTCAGTCACCATGTTTTGTGCATCTGTCTG